ATCCACACATGTGCAATTGTTGCGTGTCATGTCTTTCAGCATTGTTGGTTTGTAAATACTGGTGTGGTCCCTGATTAGATAGTGTGCATGCTATAAATGCAGGAATTTTGTGCTGATTGACAGTAGAGCTTGCAAGACAAAAGGCAGTAAGTCTTGTTTTGTTTTACTAAGTTGTTGCTCTTATCAGAGCATCCTAGAGATCGCTAGAAATAGAATGGTTTGGCCAGAAAACAAAATGTCTTGGCATATCAGTTACGGTAAGTGTTGTGTAGGGACTAGTTTGGGATGTCTTGGCATATCAGTTACGGTAAGTGTTGTGTAGGGACTAGTTTGGGATGTGGGTGGCGCGGTCAGGGGTCCCTTTACCTTAGGGACTAGTTGCTATGGAGGATTGTTTACCTCTTATGCTGTATGACAAAACTGAGGGGGGTTTCAACTGTCAATTGTAATAAGGAATTAAAAGGAAAAAATTTTTAAAAATCAAGGCTAACACAAGCACCTTGCATGAGCCTAAGATATACTTTAAACTCCAGTGTGTATGTTTATATCGCTATGTGCATCATTTCCAGGTTTAACCATAGTAAATAAGGAAAAGAGAAGGGTTTGACTATTTGCAGAGCACTTAATTTGCTGCAAATTGGAAAGCCAAAATTCTGTAACCCCAAAATGCCAAAATACACAATTTACTGTGAATAGGTGGGAAATGCAGCCATGTAAACCATGCAAATACTTGGTCTGACTGTCATATTTTATTTAATTGATGCAAGTTATTCATTATCAGCAGAAGAAACTAAAATGCTACCATGCTAGGTTGAATACTGTGACCCAATTACAAGACAGTGCAATAGTTGAGGTGACAAAGTGGTGTCTCAAGGAATATGAGCAAATATTTGGTAAGTGAAGAGGAAGAATGCTGCAAGACTGAGCATAGTCCTGTACATATCTACTCAGAACTCAGTGTCCCAGTGAACTCAATAGAACTTACTTCTGAGTAGACGTGTATCAGATTGTGTTGTTACCCTGGGCACTAAAAGTCCATACTAAGCTCTCTTAATGAATTGGGGGGGGGAGGGCTTTTTCAATGATGTAATCAACCCCTGAAAAGCTAGGACTGGTTTCTGATCCAAAGAAAAGGGGGAGGTGAACACTTTGCAAAAAAATTGTATAAACATTTTAACAGGCACTTCCAAGGGGGGGGTGAGGAAGAGAGACCATAAGCTATGCAGCTGCAAAGTATTGGGCAAGTCCTTATCTACATGGTTGCATTTCACTACAGGGCCAGTGTGTTATACCAGAGCAGGGGTTGGCAACTTAAGGCCCTTGGGCCACAAGCGGCTCACAGGAGTCGTTTAACTGGCCCCCGAGCCGCCCACTTGGCGAGTCTCCACATGCTGCGCTAAACCGGCACAACACAGCATGGGGACTTGCTTTCGCAGCACCGAAAATTGCGACTGCGCATGCGCAGGTGCCGAAAATCACATCTGCACAGATGCAAGTGCTGAAAATCGCATCTGCACAGACACCAGAAATCGCAGGTGCCCACGCGATCTGGCCCATAGAGGGACCTTCGCTGGAGTGAACCGGCCCAGGCAAGGTAAACCTTGTTGTGCTTAGAGTAGGGAGATTTGCCTTAAAATTCCTGCTCCTCCCTGAAGCTCCCTAGGTGGTCTTTGGCTACTTGCTGTCACTCAGCCAAACCTGCTTCACAAGTTTATTGGGACAGCCCCTCAGTGTGGACTTGGAAAAGGAGCAGCTTAAACATTTATTTATTTATTTATTTATTTCACAAAATTTACATTATTCTTAATTGAAGTAAAGCATCAAAATAGTTTATACAAAAATAATTAAATAATAAAACATCAGATTGTAATAAATGTTCTTTTTTAAAAAAAATATATTTATTAAGATTTTCAAATTTAATACAATAAAAAGGAATCAAAAAGGAAAAAGCAAAGAAGATTAAAAACACATAATGTTCACAATACTTATTTTTCAATAACATATTTCCCTGACCTCCTCATACCTCCCTTTCTTGTATTCCAGTTCAGATTGTTTATTCAGCAAATCCTTATCCATAATTTTTAACTTATTTCTATACTTAGTTTAACATATTATTGTTTTACTTTTTCTCTTTCATCCATTTCCTCAATTTATTTTTGCTAACCTTATTTTCATTTAGTTTAGTTCATTTTAAAAAATCAATTTTACCTTATCCAAACTTAAACATCAATACTTATACATCAATACACATTCTTAAAACATTTTTTCTAAAGTCAACCCAAATTCACTTCCACGAATTTCCCAAATTTCATACACATTCCAAAAACAAAATAAAAACAGAACAAATTATAATTATGTACCCTTTGGATTCCCAAACCCCACCCCACCCTTTCCCGGTTTCAGTCCCCAACAAATGTCCATCCGTCTTAATCTAGTATTAGCCTGGAGATCTCACATCCGAGGCTCTCAATTCTCTCTCAATTCCTCTCTGCCGGTTTTTTTGATAGTCCTTAAAATTGAACACCAAATCTCGGAGAAGCTCTGGCCCTACGGGATCCAGATTGTAATAAATGTTCTGTCTTCTATAAACTCTTTTGCATTTTGCCTAAAAAATAGAATTAGTGGAGCTCATTCCCACCTCCTCCAGTGGTGTATTTAGCAAACTGTGTCTGCTTGGTTCCTTCCTACCAGCCCATGGCGGGAACAAAGCACAAACCTTGGTTTAGCGTTGCATACAAACTGGGGACCTTGGTTTGTTTTGCTCAAACCACTAAGCCAGGAACAAACTACCATGACATGCAAATACAGTGGTACCTCAAGTTAAGTACTTAATTCATTCCGGAGGTCTGTTCTTAACCTGAAATTGTTCTTAACCTGAAGCACCACTTTAGCTAATGGGGCCTCCTGCTGCCACCGCGCCGCCAGAGCACAATTTCTGTTCTCATCCTGAAGCAAAGTTCTTAACGTGAAGCACTATTTCTGGGTTAGCGGAGTCTGTCACCTGAAGCGTATGTAACCTGAAGCGTATGTAACCTGAGGTACCACTGTACTGCCGTTGTGTCTCTCCTGCTGGTCCAACTGAGCTCATGACTTACCTAAAGTCACCCAGTCCATTCTTTGAGGAGCCAGGATTGTCCCTGGAACCAAGCCGAAAGCTCTGTCCCATAGATTAAACTTCCTCTTGGTATTTATTCATTTCTGACTAGCAGTATTTATCCTGAAAAATCACCTGGAACCTGAGCGTAAGTGCTGTTTGTATAGATCTATTTACCGTATTTTTCGCACCATAGGACGCACTTTTTCCCTCCTAAAAAGCAAGGGAAAATGTGTGTGCGTCCTATGGAGCGAATGCAGGGGGGAGGCAGGCGGGAAAAGCCCCCAAGAGCCGCACACAAGCTCCGTGCGCTCTTGCGGGCTTTTCCACAGGAGGGAGAAGGGACTGACTGGCCGCATCAGTCCCTTCTCCCACCTCCCAGGAAAGCCAGGAGAAGCCGTGCAGCCCTTTTAAAGTGCCCGCGGCTTCTGCCGGTTTTGCGGGAGGTGGGGGAATTCCCCCACCTCCCAGAAAAGCCAGGAGAAGCCGCGCAGCCCCTTTAAAGAGCTCACGGCTTCTGCGGGCTTTTGCGAGAGGTGAGGGAATTCCCCCACCTCCCAGAAAAGCCAGGAAAGCCCTGCGCAGTGTCTCCCAGCAAGGAGAGGCTGCACGGGGCTAAAGGGGAAGGCAAAACAGCGAGCAGGATCCATCCTGCTCGCTGCCTTGCCTTCTTCCATAGCTGTGCGCAACCCCTCCACAAGGAGAGGCTGCGCGGGGCTAAAGGGGAAGGCAAAACAGCGAGCGGGATCCATCCCGCTCGCTGCCTTTCCTTCTTCCATAGCTGCGCGCAACCCCTCCGCAAGGAGAGGCTGCGCGGGGCTAAAGGGGAAGGCAAAACAGCGAGCGGGATCCATCCCGCTCGCTGCCTTGCCTTCTTCCATAGCTGCGCGCAACCCCTCCGCAAGGAGAGGCTGCGCGGGGCTAAAGGGGAAGGCAAAACAGCGAGCGGGATCCATCCCGCTTGCTGCCTTGCCTTCTTCCATAGCTGCGCGCAACCCCTCCGGCAGGGAGAGGTTGTGCGCACCCTGTACGCTGCTCTTTGGGGCTGGGGGGGGGGAGATTTTTTTCTTGATTTCCCCCCCCTAAAAGCTGGGTGCGCCCTATGGTCCGGTGCGCCCTATGGTGCGAAAAATACGGTACATTGATTGAAGAGAAGGACATGTTCCTAACAATAAAACTTAGAAAACAGTACATGCAGGTACGTGAACTAACATCTTGTGAGACAGTATACATTACTAGATGCAAGAGAATGACCATATCTAGGGCTGCTTTGTTTAATTTATTTATCTGTTTAAAATGTTTAATAAACTGAAAATTAATTGGGCAGCAAAATTTAAATATATATTCTTTTCAATACAAATGCATATAAAATCTTGTTAAAAGAGGTATTATTCCTTTTCTCACACAAGAGGGCTGGATGCTTCTTACAAGTTAATGCCTGCTAGGAAACACGTGTGCATTCTTTTTTTTAAAAAAAAGCCAAGCAAACAATGTTGCTTCAGAAATTCTGCAAAATTGAGTTGATTGATCATTTAACTAAAACTCGTATGATTTATTGATCAGGTTGCAATGTAGTTCCTAACCTGGCTTCCTGCCTTATTTCTGCGCTCCCAGAGACATCTGGATGGAAACAGAATGCTGGACTTTGATCCAATCAAACAAGATAGCTCTTAATCCCTTTCAGTCAGCTGCCTTTGTCCATTTCTACTTGCCACTAAATGTTCACATTGGAAATCTTAAAATTGGTTTCCTTTTGCAATTGCATGCACTTGTGGCATAAGTTTTGTACAATTGCATAAAATATCCTTTTTTTAAAAAAAACACCTAAACAGGACGGTCTGTTATTAGACAAGGAAACAGCACAGAAGAAAAAATGTAGCAAAGTGATAAGGAAGCTATCCTTATAAATAAATAATTAAAAACCATTATTGTAAGGATCTGTGATCCCGCCATATGTAGCTCAGTCACAGTGGTGTTCATTTATCCTTCCATAAAACATGGGTTAAAAAAAGGCAATTAAAAGCAAGATTACAGTCCTGTCCTTTCTGGCAATGGCTGATCATGTTGAAATTTGGGGTTGTGTGTTGCTCCCTGCCCAGCACAGCATTGTTAGTTTTACTTCCCCATGTTTGGTTGGAAGTTGTCAGAGGTCAGAGATCATGTTGAAGACCCAAATACCGGTATTTGTCACAGTGTACATCCAGACTTGGTTTTTTTTAATGGTGAGAGATTAAAGCAGCACACCTATTCCCACTCCCTCCCAAAACCAAGGTGGTTTTCTCAGCAGCAAGGGATTTCCTAGTCTTCTCCGCTACTCTGCATGTTGTAGAGACTTTGTACAGCCCTGATTTCATTTGCTTGGGGGACATGGAACAAGTAAAAGTGGTGTTTCCTAAGTAGTAACCTTGCACTAACAGCTGAGAAAGGTAAATAAATGAATTTGATGCTAAACATTCAATTCAAAAATACTGTGTGTATAGTTAAGTAAGAAATCGAATGGCAATGACTGAAATACAGAATTTGGCATTTAGTGTTTACATGGCAGTGGGGTTAGAGAGAGGCTATTGACTGAGAGCAGTGTGATGTGACGTGAATGGCAAAAGGCGGGTTGCTGAGGGACGCAGAGCTGCAGAACAGGATATTCCACATCTACCAGGCAGAGGTTGATCTGGAAGAAAGCCAGAAGTGGTTTGTGAAAGCAACAATAGCTTAAGGTGGTCTTGCAGAAAGGCAGAAGACTAAGGATGTTATTAACACCAGTGAAGGCTCCTTTGCTGTTTAACGTTGGGTACTAGAACAGCAAGATAATAAACTTGCCATGCCACGTCTACTGTGCCTCATTTGCAGTAATAAATATTCAGAGCAACTTCCTCAAACTAAAAATGTTGCAGGAGCTTTCCGTTCAGATCATGGGAGCATTTCGATGATCCAGCACAACAGTAACTAGGAAATTAGAGGGAAATGTCTTCGAAAACAAGGTTGGTTGTGAAAGAAGTAGCTCCCGGGGATGTTAATGGTAAGAATTTAATATTGTGCCTTGTGGACCTGAAGTTGTGTTGTGGCGTGTTATATTTTTTTTAAAGGATGTGGGGGGGGGGGAGAATCACACAGTCTTTTCCATAGTATAATAATCATGCAGCGAAGCAAATATGAGTAATATTTTTTGTATATTTAAAGTGAGATTTTGGTGAACATGTTGTGGTTTATTTGCATTTCATGACTGAAAAGTATATGCTAAGACATGTGGACATAATACTGGGGTGTGAGTTTTGTTTCCCCTTTAGGGTTGGATTTGGGGGAGTGGGCACTCTTGAGTAGCTGCCAGAATGCACAATTTGCTTTACATGTTTGTATGTATGTTGTATCCATGAGTGAGCATGTATTGAGCGCACTTCTCCTCTTGTCATTTGCTTGAGCGTCTTACCCCACTATTTTTATTCCTTTGTACTAGGGATATGGAAACCGTGGCCCTTTAGATGTTGTTGGCCATGTTGGCTGGGACTAATGGGAGTTGGAATCTAACAACAGCTGAGAATGGGGCACTGGTAGTCAGTCCTCCTACATATATGGTTTGCTCACCACAATTTATCAAAAAATATGGCATAATTACTTATGACACGCCTTCAGGCCATACCTGCAAGCTTTTGGGGGTCAGTCATTTGAGATTCCTTAGCAGAGCTAAGAAACTATTGTGGGTAATGCACCACTAAGTTATATTCAGAGTAGAGCCATAACTTTAGTAGTTTAAGGTCATTGATTTCAGTGGGTCTATTCTTGAGTATGACTTAGAGGGATATCATCTTCTGTTTCTCAGGCACATTTTGTCATACCAGATGTGTCTAATAGCTTAGAGTTTCTTGGTAAAGGCTTGAAGTGCCTCATAAGGCTACATAAATAAATCAACCCTGTGATCTTATTAATGATTACATCCCTTTAGCAAACGGTTAAAGTTCATGTTTATTCTAACTGAAATAATTGAACAATACATAAATATATACTCTCCTGCTTGTGAATTAATAGATAAGCAATGATTATTGTAAATCAGCCTTTACCAAATTTGTGCCCTCCAGTTTTGGGGGGTTGATGGGAGTTAAATTCTAAAATGGGTGGAGACCCTCGTGACGTGCAGGCCAGCCTTGGTCCACAAGGCCATTTCCCTGCCAGATGTCAGTGGGTGACATCTCCTGATGGATGGTGTTCAATTCTGCTGGGGGCTGCTTCATCAGGACATCCCCTGCAGAGAACACACTGGTGAAGCAGAGCCCTGCATAGAGCAGATTGGCCCATCAACTGGTGAGCGGAGTGTTTGATCCTGCTTGGTGCTGCTTCACCAACACTTACCTGGGGGAAATGTTCTGACCAAGCTGCCGTCCACCCAGGCCAAAATGTTTCCCCATCCCCGGGCCACAGTTTCAGGAGAGCACATCCACACCATGGAGTCAATGGATCAATCCTGCTTCTCAGTGAACTCTTGAGAATTGTAGTTCTTTGAGAGAGGATAGGAGTCTCGTAACAATTCCCAGCACCTTTAACAAATTAGAGTTCCTAGGATTCTTTGGACCAAACCATAACTGTTACAGTGGCATAAAACAACATAAATGTATAGTGTGGATGTGACCTGACAACTCAACATTTTGTGGCTACTGAACATTCTCAGTCCACGCTGGATGGTTTTGGTGGTGTGTCCCCCAGTTAGTCCATTGCCTGCATTTTGGCTTATGTGAGAATATGTCTGGGGGCAAAGCCAAGACTTCTGGGCCTTCTGCCTTTGTTTCAGTTAAAGATAGGTTGCTAGCCAGAGTTGTGGGGATTTTTTTTTTTACATTAACGCTTTTTAATGCGCATCACTTTTTCTTTTAGCGCCAATATGCTGCTCTGCTCGCCTCAGCTTAGCGGTCTGGGCCTTCTTGGGATTCTTTCTCTTATATGCACTTCGTGTCAATTTAAGTGTTGCCCTGGTGGACATGGTAGAATCAAATGCAAGCTTGACCAAAAATACTTCTTCAAATGTGTGCAAAGAACATTCTTCTACCCCAGTTGTTCCTCGTAACACTACGGTAAGTTTTACCAGATCTACTTTTGAGAATGTGAACTGTTTTGAAGGGTATGTGTTTTAAATTATTATCTCTTCAAGAGCTGGCGGAATGCCAGTATTGATGGGGTGAATAAAGGATTGTTTTCAACTAAGTTCTACTTAGAGTAAACCAAATGGACGGTGTCCACAATGAGCCCACTCTACTAATTTCAAAGAGTATGACTAACAGTGGGCACAACCTAAATACTCTTGCAGTGTAATCTGAGGCATTTACTCAGAAGTAAATCCAGGTGATTTTTAATAGGTTTTACTCCCAGTTAGGTAGGTATAGGATTTGAGCCATACCTTGGACTAAGCCTCATTTGGTAAGACCCATTGAAATCATACTCCTACATTCTGAATAAACGTACAAAGGATTGTGCAGAACATTAAATCAGCACCCCTTGTGAAATTATCCAAGGGATCTTTAAAACAGTTATGATCAGAGGACTATATCTTATCTCTCAGCATTCTTTTGCATGATCTGTGCCTTCAAACAGGCTTTGAGGTTCTTCCTGTCACAGAGATTCTGCTCAGATGATGCCACTATTTTATCTGCATCAATCAATCTGAGCTCTGACTCCTTACATAGGGTTGCTATACATCTGGAATTTCCTGGAAATTGCTGGGATTTGGCCACTGGAATCGGTGTCTGTCTGGGCGGAAATCGCTATAATGTCCAGGAATATCCGGACGTGTGGCAACCCTTGTCAGAAGTGTAGGTTTTGGCGAATTTTCTTGAAAATAGCTTAAAAACATCTTGCCCCCCCCCCCCCCGGCTCAACTTTTGTGTCCAGAATTTCACTTTTCAAAATACGGCTACCCTACCTTACAGTAATTCTTGTAGGAGTGTGTTTGCTTAAGGCAAGTAACATTCAGTCCTCATCAAATCCCTTTATAGATTTTTGCTGCCTCCATTCTGCCTCCAGAATCACACATACACAGCAGAATCACTCCCTTCCTGTGTGGTGTGGTGTGGTGTGGCGTGGTGTGGTGTGCGTGGTGGCGTGGCGTGATGTGATGTGATGTGATGTGATGGATGCTACTGTTCTGAAAATAAAAAGATAACACCCTGGAACCTAGGATAATGCCCTGACAACCCTAGAGAACTGCTGCCAGTCAGTGTAGACAATAATGACCTAGATAGACCAATGGTTTGACTTGTCATAAGGCGGCTTCCAGTGTTGCACATAGTACAGGCCAACCTGGACTCTACCACAAGAATGTAAATGAGGTAAATTTGGGTGGTGGTTTTTTTTTAAAAAAAAAACTTATTGTACAGCCTATAGTTGTTTAAAGTTTGTAAGTCTGTCAAGTGTGGTAGTTCATACATTAAATAAAGAAAAGAAGAGGAGAAAACTTTGAAATGAATTGATATGTGATTATTTTTTATGACACTGTGACTGGGCTTTGCTTGCTTTAGGAGCCTGGTTGACAGAATGAAAACAGTTAGCAGGATATTAACCAGCTATGTATATTTTAATGTCATTCATCTAAAAAAAACCCAACAATGTGGTCACTTTTTGGATGTACATAGGGAGTTCTTTCCATGCGTCCCATGAAAAATGAGCACGTAGTTCCCTATGTCCATGATGGGCATGTGGAAAATATAGTTTGTAAGCCACTCCGCAGTTAGCAAGGTATGTCACTGATAGGTGTGCAGTGTTGCTGGGTGGGGAGCATGCAGTCCTTTGTTGTATCTTCCTGTGATGCAAGTGGTGGGGTGGAAACCAGACCTTCATGTCTTTTTCTCTCCCTCCCTTCCAGGGGAAAAAGTATCCATGGGATGCAAATACTCAAGGCTGGATCCTTGGTTCCTTCTTCTATGGCTACATCATTACACAGGTTCCTGGTGGATATCTTGCCCGCCAGTTTGGTGGAAAGAAGCTGTTGGGGTTTGGCATCCTGGGCACTGCCATTTTCACCTTGTTCACACCTTTGGCAGCAGATTTGGGAGTCGGGTACCTCATAGCTGTCAGAGCTTTGGAAGGCCTGGGTGAGGTAATCTCTCCTTCTCCGCCCCCTTTAATTGTTATTGTTAAGAGTTTCAAAACAATTACTTTGTAAGTACATTAACAATCCCCTGTAATGTTGATAAATTACATTAGGTCAGTCTTTTCTAGCTTGGCATCTTCTAGATGCTGCATGTCTCCAACTCCAGTCAATCCCAGCTCTAGCCGGGCAATGCCCAGATGTGAATGGAGTCCAAAACACCTGGAAGGCACCAAGTTGGGATCAACCACTCCATAGGGATCTGGTTGGGCACTTTGCAAATAGGGTGCTGGACTAGATGGGACCTTTGTCTGATCTAGCTGTGCTCTGCTCATGTTCTTAATAGCACTTTTCTCACTTGGGTTTTCCATTGCTGCCGCTTCAGTTATAGTTCCACTTGCTTCTCGCGTGCTCTTATTTTCCCCCCAGCAGATAGACAGATGGGCATGAATCTGAGACTTGAGGGTTCCTTCCTCATTCCCAGTTTTCCTTACACCCCACCTTAAAATGAACATGTCTTCTATGACTTCATTGTGAGGACGAGCATATTGTTAAGATCATAGAGCACCACATTAATGAGAAATGGTATATTAAGGGCTACATGAGGAGCTGATATGAAAGGTATGCCGTTCCTCTGTGGCTGTGGAACTGATCAAATGGCATCTGCAGAGCTTGAATAGAGGGGAAGGAAGTAGGAAGTTGTGCCAGGATGGGTGGACCTGGCACTTAACTGAAATTTTGTTATGTAAAATGTCTGCTGCATGTTCCCTTAAACAGTTGTGTATAGGCTGGGTTAAAAAATAAAATCTTTGTGTGGGCATTCCAAATTTTGCACCAAAAACCTGAATCCTGCAACTGTATAAATTATGCAAGTTGAGCAGTTTTCCCTAATTTCTCTGACTCTACATAATTTACTCTGCGATTTTTGTTGTTTTTATTTCTGCCCCATCATTGTGAGAGGCAAAGAACTTCCTAGGACAGCTTCATTAAAAAGGGAGGAAATGCGGAAAAGAATATTTTCAGGAAGCTGAATTCTCCACCCATTGCCACATTCTGTGCTCTTGCAGAATTGCAACATAAATCCAGCCCTTCCCTTAACTCCCTGGGTTTAATATGATGCTTTAATATGCTTGTGACCTCTTTAAAACTTAATTGTTCATGAACATTTTTATTCAAAGTTCACATAGTTTTGATTAGATTTCTGGTTTAATTTAGGGGAATCTGGTTGTTGTTTTTTAACCTGGTCTGTCCGCAGAATGAGGACTCTTCCCTGCCATGCTGTCCAGCCTCCTATGCATGTTGGCATTTAATAATCCAAACTGAAGGAAAACCACCACTTCAAAATATTTGTGCTGCTGTTTCTATGCAGAAACCAAAAGTTCAGCATAATTGTTATGTCCACAAAGCATATTCAGCTGAAGAATTGAGGCAGGCAAGGAATTAGTTCTGCTTAATTGCCCAGGAGCTATGTGCGTTTTGTTCAGAAAATAGCTTCGTACTAAGGCAACTGGTACTTTCTCCAGGCTGCGTTGGAGATGTTTTATTGAAGTGAATCTTGGCCAAGTCATTTTACTCTTGAAAGATATGCTGTACTATAAACAAATGTGTTTTCCAGGGTGTCACATTTCCTGCCATGCATGCCATGTGGTCCTGTTGGGCTCCTCCACTGGAACGCAGTAAACTTCTTAGTATTTCATATGCAGGTGAGATGCTTTAAAAAATGCTCAAGTCTAGCCAATGAAGATGCAGCACTAATCTCTTTTAACTGTGGTATAACGGTTGGGAACAGGCCACAGGATTATGCATTCCATTTCTGCTCCCCACCCCCATACTCCTGCAGCTACCCATTAAGCATGGTTCATTGCTGTGCATGCCTTGCCACTAAACCGTGTTTATCCCTAACCTAGGTGTATTCAAAGCCTAGCATTTTCAATCCTTGAGCAGTCTATGTACTGCTAGGATATGTGTGTGTGTGTGTGTGTGTGTGTGGACAGGGTGGCTGGGACAATCCAGCCAGATGGACGGGGTAAAAATAATAAAGTGATGATTATTTTAAAATAAAACTTTAATTTCTAGGTGCGCAGCTAGGAACTGTTGTGTCTCTTCCATTGTCTGGCTTGATCTGTTTTTATATGAATTGGATTTATGTGTTCTACATATTTGGTAAGTGTTTTCACTGTAAATGCCATTCAGTTGAGTAAAGATTGTATTTTTTTAATTATTCATTTTAAAATATGCAAAACAAAATAGTAATGAGCAAACTTTCTCAAACCCCCCTCCTTATACAACTAATCAGCAGTATTAAGGTGTGAATTAGGTTACTCTCTCTTCTCCCTCTTCCGCCTCCCCGCCATCTTTTTAATAAATAATAATAATAATAATAATAATAATAATAATAATAATAATAATTTATTATTTGTACCCCACCCATCTGGCTGGGTTTCCCTAGCCACTCTGGGCAGCTTCCAACAAAGATAAAAAATACACTGAAATGTCACATATTAAAAACTTCCCTGAACAGGGCTGCCTTCAGATGTCTTCTGAATATCAGGTAGTTGTTTATCGCTTTGACATCTGATGGGAGGGCGTTCCACAGGGCGGGCGCCACTACCGAGAAGGCCCTCTGCCTGGTTCCCTGTAACTTGGCCTCTCGCAATGAGGGAACCGCCAGAAGGCCCTCGGAACTGGACCTCAGTGTCCGGGCAGATCGATGGGGGAGGAGACGCTCCTTCAGATATACTGGACCGAGGCCATAATATAACTTTTAAATATGGTTCAGGAGAATCCAGTGGTACTCCAATGTGTCATAGGTACAATTAAGATACCCCAAATCCTAAGGACAATTAAAAAAAAAATACAGCTGGAAGATTGTTTTTCAGTCCTCCTGTGTCATTGTAAAGTTTTTCGTGTGTATTTCTAGAACACTTTGTGCCTGATCATTGTAAATAAATGCCTAAAATACTTCCCCAGCTATTTTGCCTGTCACACCCTGGGGAATGTCATGATCTGATGACATTTTTCTGTTAAGCTTATATATGCATGTGTGTCAAGAAATGTTATCTACAGACTGCCCACTAAGAGAATTTCTGTCTATGGGAGAGTTCGTTCGTTTTCAGCAACCCAATTCTCTCGCTTAAATAGTCCCATTGTGCAAAACATCTCTGATTAATTTTGTTTCGTATCACACCGACGGCCACCTCATCTATGCCTTCTTTAGCTACAGGAAGCTGACAAATCTAGAAGTTTTTATGCATTTGATGTATCCTTAGTGGCACTGTGGGTTAAACCACAGAGCCTAGGACTTGCCGATCAGAAGGTCAGCGGTTCGAATCCCCGCGACGGGGTGAGCTCCCGTTGCTCGGTCCCTGCTCCTGCCAACCTAGCAGTTCAAAAGCACGTCAAAATGCAAGTAGATAAATAGGTACCGCTCCTGCGGAAAGGTAAACGGCTTTTCCGTGTGCTGCTCTGGTTTGCCAGAAGCGGCTTAGTCATGCTGGCCACATGACCTGGAAGCTGTACGCCGGCTCCCTCGGCCAATAAAGCGAGATGAGCGCCGCAACCCCAGAGTTGGTCACGACTGGACCTAATGGTCAGGGATCCCTTTACCTTTACCTAGCAGACAACGGCAATTGGTACACACGGCTTCACATTTAAGTGATCCTCTGGATATGCGCACACACATTTGTTATGTTGTTTCATTTACCTTTGGAGGTGGGAGTGGCTGGTTATGCCTGTGGGATCCACAAGTAGCTCTGGCTTGAGAGACATTTCACGGTGATCTTCGGATGCTCTGTAATAGCAGCTGGCGAGGCACTGTGGGTGGGGCAGCCCTGTTCTCCCAAGTTTCCCAGCACCAAACATCACTATAACTTGCCAAGAGGAGAGAGAGGGGTAAAGGAGTGTCAGATTGGCTCTGCTGCCATGCCCACGGTGTGCTGAGCTGCCCACTGTCTTGTCCCCTACCCCTCTCCCTCCTGGTAAGGGGCAGTAATGTGAGATATTGGGAAGCCAAGCGAGAGCAACACAGTACCACCCTGGTGGGTTGTAGCAGTGCTTGCAAATTTAAAGTCTCATGGCTGCCATTTCCTTGACCATAAGCGTTGTTGTTTTCACTTTTAGGTGCCCTAGGTGTGCTGTGGTTCATCTTCTGGATGTTGATAGTTAGCGACACACCAGAAACACACAAGAGAATTTCTCATGCAGAAAAGGAATACATCCTCTCCTCCCTTACAGATCAGGTGTGTACTTTTTGGTCAAGCCTTTGCTCATTTCTGTTGACGTACTGGGGTAATATACATCCACTATTGTATTTAAAGGACAAAGAGGTCCTTGAAAAATGCTTTTAAAGCTCAGTAACATTCCCAAGGCGGGATACATCAATAAAACATGCAATTATAATTAGAACCGTTGCAATTATAAATGCATAAAACAGATGGAACAGAAACTGTATAAAAGAGGTGGTTCCAGCAGACGAAAAAGCCAGCTAAAAAGAACATTTGGGTGAGAAAGGGAACAAGAATGCCCAGCAGCAGAATCCCTGAAAAGTCACCACTCAGACAAATGTTTTGTCCTCCTAATGTTAAACAGAAGTTCACCCATGCTGTGCACCAACTGTGGTTAAGTGTGGGCATACCTGCATGCAGCAGGTAAGGGACTCAAGGAGGAACATGAATCCCATAGCTTGTTCCTGATCTCCTTAAGCGTCTGCATTAAGGGATCTACCATTATGCTTAAGAGTGCAGACTGGCAGGAACAAGCTCTTTAGAAAAAATCCTCTTTGAAGTTTTAAGAAGTGTGATTCAGGTTTTTTTTAAAGAACATCTATGTGAATTTAATTCCTTCTCTTTAGCTTTCTACTCAGAAATCCATCCCTTGGGGAGCCATACTCACGTCACTTCCACTCTGGGCTATCGTCGTAGCACACTTTTCTTATAACTGGACTTTCTACACACTCCTTACCCTATTGCCTACTTACATGAAGGAAATTCTGAGGTTTGATGTGCAGGAGGTAAGATACCCTGTGTTATCCAGTTACAAAACTTACCCTGAAGTGACTTAGGCTAGATCGTAAACTTGGCTTTCAGTAGGAATTACAGTCAGAACCTAAGCACCCAGTGGGGCGAAGCTACAGAAATAGCCTCCTGACTGTGAGGTCAGGGCTGCACAGGGTCATTCAATTACAGCACATTACAGCACAACCCTACATAGGTCTACTCGCATGCAAATAATAATAATAATAATTATTATTATTATTATTATTATTTATACCCCTGCCCATCTAGCTGGGTTTCTCCAGCCACTCTGGGCGGCTTCCAACAGAATATTAAAATACAATAGTCCCATGGAGTCTAATGTGACTTACTTCTGAGTAGACATGCCTAGGCTTTCTCTGTTAGCCTCTTGGCTGAGTGGGAATGCGATCCCAAATCGCTGGTTCATGGCTTATGCCACACACTGGTATTCAGTATGCGGCCTTGAAGTCAGCTCTGTATGTGGAGTATCTGGCAGTGCTGAGAGATTTTAGGAACAAGAATCTCAAATGGCACCTTTGTCACAGGAACACAAGGCCACGTGTTTGTGTTTTTCCTGGGAAATCCATTCTAGTGAGAGAAGGGGAGGCTTTGGGTATCCAACACTTCCCCACCCCCCTGCAGTCCATAAATAATTCTGTTAATTTAACCAGCAATATTACTTCTGGAAGTGCAGCTCTTAAAACTCTAGCCACTTTTTAGTGAGTATAATGAAATTTGAACGTGCAACTTAAAAATCAATTTACTATCAGAGGAGAGAGAATTGTCCTTTTTTCTGTCTCTCTCTCACATTATGGTGCCATCGCTGTTCCCTGTTTTGCATTTTAAGGTTAACGGCTTAATTAAAAATGTGCTGCTCATTCAAGAGCATTTGCTAAAATTAGGTTGAAGCAGCTGTAAAGAGCAGCCTATCCAACTCCTTTACCTTGTGCTTCAATTCTAAAGGTTGCTATGTAAATTCCTTCAGAGCAATTGCAATTTTTTGTTCTGCTGGCTGCACATTTAACAGGCTCTCTGAGAATGAACACCTGTGACAAACGAATGTGCACCAGAGGGTTCTTTTTCCCAGGAGGAAGGAATTGAAGCTGTTTCTCTGGCTCCTTGTTCTTTTTCCTCCTGGAACATTCTGCTGCTGCTCTTGGGAGAACCTTCAGATAAGTCGCCCAGTCTGCTGGGTGCAGCATCAAGCTAGGTTCCTTAACCTTGAGCAGAGTTGCTGACTGGGAGGGCTTCACTCCAAGTCAGAGTCTGAATCCCCTTTGGTGGGTCTGCTGATTTATAAACATGTCCCCTCAGTGAGTGAGTGAGTGAGTGACACAGATGCTATGCAGAACATCAGTTCTTCTGATTGCCATAGGCTTTCCTACAGTGGATCTTCAACAGTAATCACACCCTTTGGGTAAAATTTTCCAGAAATTTCAGTTACAGAGTTGGCTGTTGACTGCCTAAAGCACGCTAGCCTTTGTCTGCAAAGTGCATAATTAAATGGAGAAATCCCTGTAGTGTGAACCAGCCCTTTAAGCATCTCCTTTTAAATCAGATTCATCTGATACCAGTGCTTTGCAGTTTACCTCAGTAGAAATAGAATTGGTCTTGATATATATAACAAAGAGAGTCAACTTGGTTCCCCTCCAAATATTGGATGACAGCTCCCATCATCCTGGACCATTGGCCACACTAGCTGGGGCTGAAGGGAGTTGGAGTCTACAAACATCTGGAGGCATAACATTGGCTCTATCCTTTTGCTTACTTGAAGGGTTTCTCAGATTCTTTTTTCCACAATGAGCCACCTTGCCTGAACGTGGCTGTTGCAGTTCCCGCTCACTGTAAAAAGAATCTAAGCCAAGACGGGTGGACTGACAAGCAGTTCTAGCTGCCACTCCAGCCTCAAACCAGGCAGATATCTTCTCCTTTAACTTGGCTGTTAACCTCTGGTGTTTCTCTGAAAATAGGTGGAAAGCTGCTGTTGTTAAACCAGATACTCGTGTCTCATAACTCAGGATGTGTTTCCACTGTAGCTTGCAAGAATTTATCACTTTGCCATATCCTTAGAAAGGAAGTCAGTTTCCTTTATCATAAAATGTGTGACTTGTCAATTATGTTCACTGGTTATCTTACAGTACAGTATCCATTAAACACTGCAACAAAACAGCTTATTTCAGACAGTAAAAAACAGCCTTTAAATAGCTGTCCCCAACCCTGTTTGTACTGCTGAAGACATGTATTATTTTTATTATTCTGTACTTAGGTATTCATCTTGAAAATAAATAAATATATGCACAAAAAAGGTGTTCCCATCCCATCCTAAATCTGGTTTTCTTTTTCTGTACAGAATGGATTTTTATCTGCACTGCCTTATTTTGGCTGCTGGATTTGTATCATTCTATCTGGTCAATTCGCTGATTATTTGCGGGAAAAGCAAAACATGCCCACCGTATGTGTTCGCAAAACATTTACCCTGATAGGTAAGGAAAGAATGTGCTTGTTTTCAATTTGGCTTGTAGTTTAAATGGGGTTTTGTCGAGCTTGTACAATGTTTTTACCTGCTTTAATAAGCCCCCTCCCTCAGTTTTGAATTCTTTCCTGTTGTAAAGAAAGCTGCAATTCTTCTGCCGGATTCTTTCTGTCAGGTGCATTTTATATACGCTTATATTCCCAGTAGTAACAAGAGCATTCCTGCGCAACTTGTGTTCCATAATACCAAATGCAGCTCCTCAACTCAGCCTTGTATGGTGGCCCACCAAGGACTTTATAAACACTTCACTTTTGCTGCTTTTGCTCTCAGTAAATGGTAAGCATCCCTGGCTGGGTATGTGTAGTGGCTATGAAAGGGTCAGGCCCTTTCTGGCTGCTGCTCCCAGGATTTTGTGGCTAGGAAAATGATGAGATCCTCTTCGTGTGCCCTTGGGCTTTTGGAGAAAACCGGTGCCTGGACACACTTGGGCAATGCTTCTAACAGCTGAGAGATGAAACCAGCATTGGACCAGATGTTAATAGCTTTGGACAGGGCCCTTGTTCCTTATCCCTTACTGGTTGGTTGTAGGTTCATAGGAAGGAGCCTTAACTGAGTGTAATGGAGAGTTAACTGTTATACTGCTGTTCCCGCTATAGGTGGCCCTGTGTCCAAATGAGGCAGTGAGTCATGCTGCTTTTCTTGTTTGCAATGAAGCTGCTAAGCATCCATTCTGGCTTGGTCTCTTCTCTGAAATCAACCGGCACTGAGTCAGCCCCTTGTTACATCATCTAGCTCAGTATTGTCTACACTGATTGGCAGTGTCTTACCATGTGCTTCTCAGCGCCACTCCCCCCCCCCCCAGATGGCAGGGATCTGAACCTGGGAGAGTTGCTTTTGAAGTAGGCGTTCCACTACTGAGCTGTGCCATCTCAATCCATCCTCCATGTTCTCTCCATGTTCTCACTTGCCCTTTCCATGTGCCAATAACTTCTGAAAAGCTCTCGAAGCAACCTGAAATGGCAATTATATAAACTGAAGCTGAGGTAACTTCACAAAAAATGATGATTTAAAATGCAGATATTTTAATCAACTGTTCTTCTGCTCTGTTCTTTCTCCATCCTGTCCTGTGCAAAAATGTCCTTCGCTATTTCATCGTATTATAAAACGATAAGTGTTGATCAGAACGGGATGTGTTTGATATTTCCCTAGTGACGTTTTTATTACCTAGTTGGGTTATTAAATAAGCAACTACAACAGGTTTGTTGGTTTTAATGAACATCTAAAGCAGTGTTTCCCAACCGGTGTTCCGCGGCACACTAGTGTGCCGCGAGACGTTGCCTGGTGTGCCGTGGGAGGGAGGCGGGCGAGTTGGGCGGCGAGAGGCGGGGCGGCGGCGGCATCTCCTGCTGGATGCAAATACAAACATGGCGGGCGCCTCCCTCGCTCCTTTGTAGGTGGACCATCGAGAGAGAAAGAAAAGGAGGCGAAAGAGCGAGAGAAGGCGCCTGCGCGGAAAGAGGAGCGAGCAGTGCGCCTGCACGCCGCGGCGCCCGAGTGCAGTGAAATTCCGTGAAGAGGGGAGGGGGGGCTGGAAAAGAGAGAAAGGAAATATTTTTCATTTTTTAAAAAAAAAAAAAGGAAGAGGGAAAGAAGAGAAAAAGCGGCAGAAGCTGAGGGGAAGGTTTCCGTGAGGGAGAGAGAGAGAGAAACGCGGGGCTGGCGGGACCCCTCCTCTTCCGCCACGCGTCGCCCGCCACCGCCTCAGAATCTCCTCAGGAGCGGCGGCAGCTGCTCCACCTCGCCCCCTTCCTCCCCCCCAGCCCCCTCCCAACCCCCGGACGAGGGACGCGAGGCGGTGCCGCTGAGAGGACGGGAAGGCCCCCGGCGGCGGGGTCGGCTCGAGCAAGGAGGGGCGAGCGCTAGCCGGCTGGCTCTAGCCCGGCAAGAGGAGGAGGAGGAGGAGGAGCATGCCGTCGCTTCCACAGCGGCCGCCCCACACTCCCCTCCCCGGGCACCGGCGGGGAGAATGACGGAGCTCCAGTCCGCGCTGCTACTGCGGAGACAGCTGGCAGGTCGGTCCGTCCGTCGGTCGGGGCAAAACACACCACAGCGCAGGCAGAGGCAGGCAGGCCCGTCTCTCCCTGCCCCCCCTCGGACCTGGCCGGCCTGGGGTTTGCACCCCAAACATTCATGTCCACCCCAGCTACACAAGCCACACCTTGCTCTCAGTTCGATCTGTCAAATAACTCACCTATCATTCACATAAAGAACCTAGTCTATCCTCAAACGTCAGAATGTACCTCCTCTCTAGCTTCCCCCACTTCATCTAGGCACTTTCAGCCCTTACTTAACCCACCCCAGCCTGCTTACTCTTCCTTCATTTGCTATAAAAACTAAATACAGAGAGAGACTGAGAGCTGTTGATGAAGAGCTACGTGTGTGTCTTTCTTCGATTCCAGCCAGAATATCAGCTTTGTGTTCAGCCAAACAGGCCCAGGTTGCGCACTGAATAAAGTATTTTATAATTTTTCATATTTCTGTTTACTTACTATTTCATAATAAAGTAATTATAAAATACTTTCTTTGTGTTTATTTGATTCCTATTAAAGAGAGTTACTTTATATATAGTCAATATAGGCACAGAGTTAATTTTTTAAACATTTTCTAATGGTGGTGTGCCTCGAGATTTTTTTCATGAAACAAGTGTGCCTTTGCCCAAAAAAGGTTGGGAAACACTGATCTAAAGTACCAATAGCTTCAATTTTGTCATGGATAAAATAGCTCAGGCAAAAGCATGCATCTCCAAATTGAATACAGTCTTACCTCAGGTTAAAGTCACTTCGGGTTAAATCTTTTCAGGTTGCGTCCTGCGGCGACCCAGAAGTAACGGAACGGGTTACTTCCGGGTTTCGCCGCTCATGCATGTTCAGACGCTCAGAATGACGTCACGTGTATGCGCAGACGCAGCAAATCGCAACCCGCGCAGACGCGGGTTGCGTTCTGCTCGTGATGTGAACGGGGCTCCGGAACGGATCCCGTTCACATCCATAGGTACCACTGTAGTGATATAGTTTGTTCACTAGGTGGCAGCACAATGTAGAATAATTACTGGGCCTTTCCTCTCTTTATTTTCAGTTTTTATCAAAAAGTAATGATGGCCAGTCCATAAGACAGCAGCACAAAAGACACAGTGATTAAAACATTTCTTAGCTAGCTTGAAACTAGATTCTGCTTTAAAAGTTCCATGCAAAAGTAGTTGCTTATTTCTCACTTAGGCTGCTTACTTTCCACCCGTCTTGTAACATTACAGTAGGCCAGACAAAATAATTTCATAATGTTACTCTGGGACATTTTGCAGTAATGTGGATCTCGGGACAGATTCTAGGCTCTGAGTGCCACTGCAATGATCTCTTTCCCAGGGATTGAATGCATTCATTCAGTGTGTGCAATATGCTTGAGAGCAATGCTGCATGTCTTGAACCGATCTTGTATTAATCCCTATGAATGCATGAAGCTGCCTTGTATATTAGTCCATCGAGCCCAGCGTTGTCTGCTCCAGAAGAGTTATCCTAGTTCTGCTTCCCGAATTCCTTCTAACTGGAGATGTCAGGCTCTAAACATTCACATGCAGAGCATTTGCTCTTGTCACTGATCAATGGCACTTCTTGTGTCAGTAGGAACTCCTATGCCCTTACAAGTGTCTTCTTCCACCATTGTGTGCCTTCAATGTTGCACTCTACCAGGGCCACTACCTCTTTTTTCATCTATCCCTTACAGCTTCTGAGTTTCCAGGTGCTCCTGCATCTCTTACCTGTTTGTTTTCCTGTGCCTTGGTGCGACAGGCTCTTTAGATGTGGTTAGGATACAGCAATGGTTGACAAACTAAGGCCCGGGGGCCAGATCCAGCCCAATCACCTTCTCAATCCGGCCCTTGGACAGTCCGGGCATCAGCGTGTTTTTACTTGAGTAGAATGTGCTCTTTTATTTAAAATGCATCTCTGGGTTATTTGTGGGGCATAGGAATTCATTCATTTCCCCCCAAAAAATATAGCCTGGCCCCCCACAAGGTCTGAGGGACAGTGGACCAGCCCACTGCTGAAAAAGTTTGCTGACCCCTGCTTTAGGCAGTCTTGCCCAGGGATCAGCAAAGGACTGTTGCTTTGTTTATAGATCAAGAGCTGAGAACCACCAGTATTATTTTTTAATGAAAAGTCACTGCAATGTTTTACAAAGAATAAACAAAATTTGAGTTCCCATGAAGGTAAGGTTTCTGCTTTGTTTTTATTAAGGAATGATTGGACCTGCGGTTTTCCTTGTAGCAGCTGGATTCATAGGCTGCGATTATGAAATGGCTGTTGCATTTGTAACCATATCCACAACACTAGGGGGTTTTTCTACATCTGGATACAGCATCAACCACCTCGATATTGCACCATCGTAAGTATTCATGATTGAGTGTGCGTTTTTTCAAACAAGATTCCCTGAAACAGTGAATTAAATAACTACAGTACTTGTCTGCGTTTTTCTTCAGTCACTGATTTGGGTTAATTCAACTCCTTTGTGTGGCAGCCTTAAGTTGCAATCCTGCAAATGCACGCTTAACTCTGGGAGTAAATCTTATAGAATCCTGATCTTACAGGCTTCTAAAATGTGCAGGGAGCCTCCAGGTATACAGCTTCAGTGGGGCTGACCTCTGCGTAGAAATGCAAAGGGTTGCAGCGTGTAATCTGCTGTTGATATTTTCTGCCTGCTTCCCCTCATCCACCCACCAGCGTTTCTGTAGCATGTGATATTTGCTTGTTGAAGGTACAGTTAGAGGTACTTGCATAGGTTGACACTTAGGTAATGGGGAAGAGCTCCTGTGGGACACAGATGTACTATAGACATTATTTTCAAAGTGCATATCAATGCCATTGCTTAGATATATTTTTTGGGGGGGAGCTATACCAGTAAGGGATTTATGGATCTTTATAAGATACTCATCTATCCTGTGAGGCTTTTCCTCTTTGGCATTCATCTTTATAAAGTCATTAATGTTTAAGCAGTTCCAAGTTAGCAAAGGTCATATAAATGCCAGCTTCTTTATTCAACGAGTATGTAATTAATATACTGAAGCTGTGCAGTGGTTCTTTGGTGTTTCAGTTGGGGGTCTTCCCCAACGCTACCTGGGGATGTCCTGAACTGAACTTGGAACTTGCAAGGTGTGTGTTCCACCAGGGAGCTTTGGCCTTGCCCCACGCATCCTTTCTCGAAGTATCATTTTGCCTTTCCCTCACATTACCAGACAGGGAAGCACACGAGGCACATTTTGTCATGGCATTTCTAACATGCCAGCTAGAGTGAGCGCCGATTTTCTGCCTTCCAGTTTTTTGAACTTCACACCTTTTCCAGCCTGGTTGGTTGGTTTGCTAAGAATTGTGTTGTTTTACAGATTTATTTTTTTTAATGCTTCTAGTTTGTGAATTGCTTTTTGAAATTTAAGATGCAAAAGCCAAAATAGATACAGTATGTGTTTAAATAAAATTAGAGGAGAGCAAGTTGCAAAGTTACAGTTCCTCCCAGATTGCACTGCCCTTATGCAAAGTGTATCCACACAAGGGCTTAGAGAGCGGCCACTTGCCTGCCCACTGTGAATCCCTGTGCGAAAGCCAAGTATGAGGGTGACTTAGCACTTGGGTTTTGTTTCCCTCATAAATACTTCATTGAGAAGTTTGTGCATGTCTCCTAATCCACTCTGGACAAGTGGATGAATCATGTGTGAAATTCCTTCTGGGGTGTCTTGTTTCAGTATGTTAGGAGTGCCAAAAGATTTGAGCTTGTGCTGAGAATATCTCCCCACCCCATACATGTCTAGTTTTATATAATATATGTGTGCGTGTGAATTGCAAGGGAATGAAAATCCTACCATCGTTCCTGAGTACCAGAAAGAATTTCAAGGCACTATGGCATTGGGGACCAGCTGATTTTTTCTTCTTATTTTCTTAGATATGCTGGCATCCTCCTTGGGATTACAAATTCATTTGGCACTATCCCAGGAATGGTGGGACCACTTGTTGCTAAAAGCCTAACTCATAGTGTAAGTTATTATTGGTCTCTCCCCCCCCCCCCATTTTATTCTTTTAAAGGTTAAAGATTTGATTGTCTCATGTGTCATTATTGGCTGTGGGTTTTTTCTTGTTATTTTTAAACAAGACCAAAGAAGATTGTTTTATACTTTCTCTCTCATACCATGTTTATTGATATAAAACTGCAGCCATATGTCATGCGGCAGAGAAAATTAATCTCTTTTCTGAGACACTCTGTACTAATATCAATTTTTATTTTAATAACCCATATGTTCTCGTCCGTTGCTTTGTGAGCTGTGCCATAGTAACCCTCCCATTCAGCAAAACAAGTTCTTTAAGCCTCTTCAAGCATATATAAAACAAAATGAGGACAACCTGGAAAGAAGGAAAAGGGGGAGCAAAGCTACATGGGTCCACTATGTGAATTTAGCTGGGACCCCTGAAGAAAAACATCCTAGCACAGAACAGCTGCCTTTTTAGCCCCATCAGTTTTATTAAGTGGTAGGCACCCTTGAGTCTGACAAACTGGTGTTGGGTTGACATTGATTCCTCAGGATTTTAAAATTGGGGGGGGGGGTCAGAGCGCAGCTCAAATCTCCTCTGGCAATGGACCTCCTATAAATTGAGGTTCTCAAGTTTTCATGTATTCACAAGACAGGTTGTTATACTGAAATGTTATTTAATAGCAAGAGTTGCAAACTTTGAGCAACTTCTCAAAGTTCTTTATACACTTTATTCCATTGCTGGTGGAAACTTCAGTTTAAAACTCGCACTAAACTCTTGAGTGTAGTTTATACAGATTAAGAGTTACACCCCTAATTGAATCCTGTTTAGCATAAGTCATACTGAGCTGAACAAAATATGCCATGTTTTGAATAAATAATTGTATTGGCTACATAGATCCAGTCTCTAAACAGTGCTCAGGTGGACCAGGAAAGAGCAGAGAGTTCAAGTGTTCTCTTTATTTCAAGCCTTAACAGAAGTCTTCTGGTTTCCTCAAGCCATAGTTGGCCACGACATCTATACCAATAAACTGTGGCTTGAGCAGTCCTTGCAACCCAATCCTCCAAACCAGGGATGGGGAACCTGAAGTTCTCGATATGTTGTTGGGCTACAGCTTCCATCACCGCTGACTTTTGGCCATGCTAGCTGAGGTCCAGCAATATCTGCAAGTCCATGGGTTCCACAACCATAGGCAAACAATGGGTTTAAAGGATCAGGAATGCAACATCTGAATGCAGCCATCTTTTTAATATAAATTATCTGCTCCACACATTCTCCTTTTTTGCCATTCAGTTTATTCCTGATCATGGTTCTGTTACAGTAATGCACTGATTTATCTCCTTATTTCTGCCCCTTTGCCAGAATACTGTGGGAGAATGGCAGACTGTCTTCTATATCGCCGCTGCCATTAACTTATTTGGAGCCATCTTCTTTGCATTATTCAGCAGCGGAGAAGTTCAAGACTGGGCACTCAATGGCTACCACTTGCATAGGAACTGAAGGAACCCTGGGGTTAATCACCGCCACACATTGCAATCATGTGACCTGGAACGCCTTTCACATGACGTCTGCAAAGCCTATTGTGACCCTTTCTTGTTGCAGCTGGAAAATATTTCACATTTCAATATGCTCATTCTGTAAGAAGAATGTGGGATCCAGTCTTACACAATTGATTGGTGTCAGATACCTATGACACATTCTAATCAATGTATCAACTTTTTAAAAACGTGCCTGAATTAAATATTAGTTGGAGGGGGTGTAACACAGAAAAATATGAGATTTTGTGGGTTAAGGTAATTTTAGGTAAGGGTTGTTAGAATTATTGCTGGTTTTAGCTGTATTTATTTATCTTGTATGATTAATCCAAAAAGTAATGAAAATTAAAAACAGGGAATTAATCCTTGGGCCCTCTTAAAGTATGTATTTGTCAGCATGTGTCCACTGTGACAGGAATGGGGAACCTCTAGCTTTCCAGATGTAACTGGACTACAGCTCCCATCCTCCTCCACCATTGGCCACTATGAGAACAGAATGCTGGGCCTAGATGGGAAGTAGGCCGAATCCAGCAGGCTCTTCCTATGTTCCCTGTGCTGTGTGGTTTCACCAGACCTGTGAAGCACAAACACTGCTACATCATGGAGGAAAATAAGCCCACAGTCTTCTACTATATGGAGAAATTCAGCAATGATGTTGATTTGAAGGAAAGGTTTCTCTTTCCCCTCCTTTTTTCCTCTCACTGTCCTAATACTCATTTTGAGCAACAAACCACAATTATCCAGGCAGAATAAGACCAAGTGGCAGCAGGATCATACTAAAAGTTGGTTGCAAAATATGTACCAACGCAATCCTGTGCATATATACTTGGAAGTCCCCCTGAGGCTTCAGTGGGACTTATTCCCAGGTAAGTGAGTACAAGATTGCAGCCGAATTGACTATTAGGTTTCTGAATGAATAAACCTGAAGGTTAAACTATCTGCATAGGCTCTCTTCAGGGATTGGGTGTGCCCATGTAACTGATTCAGAATCCTACAGCCCTCAGCCAGTCGTTGACGTCTGTCAGTTCACATTGCAGATAAGGCCTGTGTCAGCTTATTTTGTCACAATGAGACCCAGAATACTAGTAAGGGGTTGGCCCACATTGCAGTGCACCTTCTTTTTCAGATGATCTCTCCCTAACTTCATATTTGATGCTAGCATGCCAAACTGGAAATGGAGGGAATATCCATGCACAGAACCACCTAAGAGATACAAGGAAGAAGAAGAAGAAAAAACTTTTTAGAATAGGTTTTGGGATTCTTCCCGTACCCGTGCTGATTTTTTTTTATTTTTTAAAAACCCAACAATTATTGAAGAGCAGCATTGGGGTTTCTCCACTACTGCTGTGGTTCGAAAAGCCATGCCACACCCTGGTCAGAAGACAGCCTCCAGAAGTAGGGCTGAGGTTTCATGTCTACACACTAAGCGTAAGTGCCATTGAGTCCACTCTGGGACATAATTCTGAAGAGCTCTGCCTTGTACGATGGAAATGTGAACTTCCGTAGCACTGAATGTGCAGTTGTGCGTGGGAATGACATGGTGGGCTAGGCAGCTGAGGCTTTGGCCTCGATATAGAGTACTAGGACACAACAGGCTAAATGGTCCTCTTTTGGATCATTCCAGGTGTAAAGCAAGCCAAAGGGGGACACACTTTGGTGTTCCTTCCACCAACCCAAAGGGAAACCTGATACACCTCCCACACGCTGCTCCAGTGGAGCCCAGCTGACTTCATTTCTGAGAAATGACAGGTTACTTTTGTTAGCCAGCTTTACATACATTTTAATTTGCATTGAAATGTTATAATGACGTCTTGTCAGCTGTGTTATATTTTGCAACTTTCAGTGTAATAAACAGTGTGGGCATTTTGGTTGGTGTGTTTTGTGTGCTACCTTGCAACTACAGACCATAACATGAAGGCTGCCGTTAGTAATAACAATAGATTTTGCCTTTTTGGAAGGGACACTCGTGTTGTAGCACACACTTGACTGGTGACTCTTCGTGTCTGTAATCATTATATGCTCAGCCTTGTTCAGCTTCTGTATTCAAGACAACCGATGGTGATTCTTCGGGTGCTAGAATGGATATCTAAAGTGAATGTGTGGCTGACACAACAGACTGGGCATTGCATGCCACAATTGGCTTTATTGAGCATCTTTCACAATGAACCGAAAGACCAACACAAAGAACTTGCTGCATTCTTGTTTGTGGCAGATCAACAGCTCATTGTGCAGAATTTGAAATATCTGGATCATCTTCAACTCTCTCTGTGGAGACAGAAGATGTGGGCAGTAGCACTAATGGAGAAACTTAGCATGTTAAGCATTAAACGGTGCTCACAATTCATTTTTCTGCATAGAAATGTGGTATCCAGTCCCAAAATCCAACTATTCTGGACGACAGCCATACAAGAAATATGTACAATAACTAAGCAAGTAATAGACATCACCCCAGAATTGGCCCTACTAAACATCTTCCAAGACAACAATGCCCATTTACACCACAAAGAACTCATAACCCACCTGCTTTCAGCAGCCAGAAATACCATAACCAGACACTGGAGAGACCTGTCAGGAGTAAGCATGGACCAATGGTACCAAATAGTATGGGAAACAGCCGTACTAGAAAAATTAACTAATAAACTGAAACTGACACGGGGACAAACAGAAGAAGACACCTTCACCCCGGTATGGCTCCCCTTTATCACACACACAGCCCAACAATGACAATGTCCACCAACAGCATACAAATCAATATGGCTAACCTGATCCAAAACACCCACCCACCTCACTCACACACGAAAACAAAGATCACCACAGCCAATCACAAGCAAACAATCACACCCTAGGCCAACCCCAACCTCTCTCACCACCAAAGGAACACAAGTGAACAACACAAACAACGCTGACACCAAACTCTACACACATTAAACATAATAGAAACACCCCCACCCCACCCCACCCCCATCCATCTTCCCTCTCTCCACCCCCCCTTTTCTTCTCTCTTTTTTCTTCTCCCCCTAAGGCCTCAACAAATGAAATGGATTTGTAAAAATGTTACATGAAAAAAACAAACAAAAAACGAGGCACTACACTTCTGTAAAACAAGAAAATCCTTAATAAAATATTTTAAAAGAAAAAAATAAATGTGGTATCCACTCAGAACCTTTTATAATGACAGCAAAGATATCTGACACTTAACATTACACCACAGGTGAACCTGTGTATTGAGTATTGTGCTGACATTGTTGCTTGCTTCATTATGCGGGTGAATGGGTTCTTTATATATTTGAAAAATTATGTAAAATTTCCATTTATTTTTTTACATTTTTTTTAAAAGTGGATAGGTGCCAACCTCTAGACTCGGAGTGGAAATTATGCTGGGAAGGGGGACTTTTAGCACCACCTTTTAAATAGCTGCTCAGTAGGAAAAAGATACTTGCCATGCATAGAAAAATAAGGGATTTCATATACAGCCTTTACTCTCACATGCGTTTTTAATAGTACTTTTCTATGGGGGACCATTCAAATATACAGTTTGTCATCCCCCAACCTAAATGCTATCTGCAATCTGAAGTTCTGTTATCCAATAAACACTTCCCTACTCAATTCTGACAGCATTTACACATTGGCCCAAGGTGATTCTTGCAACCCAGTCCCAGTGATTTAAAGATCAGGTTATAATCTTAACCATGCTTGCTTGAAAATACCTGTACTATGGAATGAATAAATCTGACCTCCACCTAAAAGTGACTAGGCTTTAGAATGTAAGGATGAATCCAGATTCTAGGCTGTATCCAACTAAGTCACACTGAGAGGAGACCCATTGAAATCAGTGGATATCATTAACTTAAATTCATCCCAATGACTTGTGACTTGGCTACAACCCTAGGTTTCTATGCTTTCAAGTTGCAAGCTAAGGTTGAAATGTAGGAGGTGGGATGACCATTTTGTTTTACTTGCTAAATTTTTATGCCTCCCTTCATCCAAGGATGACAGGGTGGTTTACAATATAAAAACAGAAAAATGTGTAATGTAAGTAACAAATGCATGGAATTCTCAGTTGAGCTCAGACAGGTCCCCTCCCTACTGAACTCCCAGTGGCTGCTGAAGACTATTATTATCAGACGTTGTAATGGAAGTTTGATTATATGGTTTGATTATATTGGTCTGGTACAAACTCTAGTCTGTGGTGCAAGGTTGGTTAGTTACGGTGCCCAACTACAGCTTGGATGATCAGGGTAAAGTCCCTGGTCATTGCTGTGTGTGTATGTGCAGCCCTTTGAAACAACACATTAATGCCCAGGTTAGTTTTGCACCCCCAATATATATGAGCAGATGCTTCTCCCCCCCCCAAAGCTTTTACAGTGGTACCTTGGGTTACATACACTTCAGGTTACATACGCTTCAGGTTACAGACTCCGCTATCCCAGAAATAGTACCTCAGGTTAAGAACTTTGCTTCAGGATGAGAACAGAAATTGTACGGCAGCAGCTGGAGGCCCCATTAGCTAAAGTGGTGCTTCATGTTAAGAACAGTTTCAGGTTAAGAATGGACCTCCAGAACGAATTAAGTACATAACCAGAGGTACCCCTGTATAGGGTTGAATGACAGCTGCTAACTTGCTTTTTCCAGCTTTTGAATTTCGTAACTTCTGTGATACGAATAGCAACGGTCGTAAAAGTACAGGAAATGCCTTGCTTTGCTTTCCCTGCTGGCATATTCTCCCCACCTCTACCCTTTCTTTAAAATTAAGGGTGTTACCTACTGCACCCAGCAGCTTAGGATCTTTCCATGGCACCTGCCAACCAATTTCTCTACTCCTATTGGTCCTAAGTCGAGACCATTCTTAACAAGCTAAGAAGCTTTGTGATTCTTTGCACTGTGCTGGGGAATCTGTCAAATGCAAGTAAATATCTGATTCTGAGAGACAGATGGTAGCAGCTGGGTGTACTGGCATTTAAAACTTCCCCACCCTTTTGTGAATCATATTGGAGCTGTATTCCTTTGCTTTTCTTCAGGAGATTCAGCACAGACTTCGATGACTAAGCTACATTCCTGTACCCAGTTTCCTGGGGATAAGCCCCACTGAATTCAAATGGGACTTACTAATAAACAGTCAAGCGCTGGATTGCACTGTGCGGATGAGCTTTCCATAAAGAGAGAGCGAGAGAGAGAGAGTTTTAATGTGCAAGCCCTCAAACGAGTGAGCGACTGACGATCTTTTTGCTGAGTCATGAAACACAGCTATGCAGCTGTCAATTGCTTTGTCTCAATATGCACCAAGCAAGAAAGTTACTCTTCTAAGCGGTTCTGTTCCTGGCAGAGGAGACAAAAGAGGGGGATTTAAAATGACTAAGCGCACTCTGCTGAGCTCTCGTTCATGCCTCTGGAACAATCGAGAGAGAGCAATATCCGGGCTGCAGACTAAAGGAAACTTTTTAGTATATCGCTACTGCCCTTCCCTCAATGCAGAATGGGTTTTCTATCTTACGGGGTTATAAATGGAATTCTAAACAGTTTCAAAGCATTCAGGACATGTAAAACAACCAAGGTGAAAAATACCAACAGAACTACTGAGAATCTGACTAAAAATCAAGCTTAACGTTTTCTTTATAAAGCAATTATTAAAGCAATTTCTAGCAATTATTATTATCCCCCCCAGTATCCTTAACTATGATCACTGTTGATTTATTTCCCTTTCCAAAGTCATATAATCATACACACACACATACGGACATTTTAATATATAGCCACATAATACTTTTTTGCCAATACATTAAATATCCTTTTTCAGCCAAGAACAATTAGACTTTAATTATCTGTAATATTATAGGTAAAGGTAAAGGTACCCCTGCCCGTACGGGCCAGTCTTGCCAGACTCTAGGGTTGTGCGCTCATCTCACTCTATAGGCCGGGAGCCAGTGCTGTCCGGAGACACTTCCGGGTCACGTGGCCAGCGTGACATCGCTGCTCTGGCGAGCCAGAGCCGCACACAGAAACACCGTTTACCTTCCCGCTCTGTAATATTATATTTTACCCAAAAAGCATGTAGGGATTTACTGTGTCATCTGCCTTTTCATTCCAATATGCCATAAACAGCTCCAATTTTCAACAAAACTCTTGTCCCTCTGTCTATCTGCCTTGCTGAGTTAAATTTCTTCAACACATCAAATTCTAATCACCAAAATTTCCAGTCTAGAGGACTCTTGATCTTTTCATGCTCGTGCCAAAAAAAATCTAATTCATCTCTATTAGTGATCAGAGTCCATAACTTTCTTTCTAACACTGACTCAGAAAAGCTCCCAATGTAGTACACAATGTAACATAATAAAACCACCATAAAATACATATTAGTGCAGCCATGGGCAAATTAGAATTGAGTCCCTGTGCCTTTAGCAGCTGGGTAGACAGGGGAACGTTGTCAAACACATTTTGTGACGCAGAAGCGAGAAAAAGCTCTCTGTGTGCACTGACAATTCTCTCCTCTTCTGCACAATCAGAGGAAACAGATATTCTCTATATCAGGTGTCAGCAACCTTTTTCAGCAGTGGGCCGGTCCACCATCTCTCAGACCATATGGTGGGCCGCACTATTTTTTTTGGGGGGGGGGATGAACGAATTCCTATGCCCCACAAATAACCCAGAGATGCATTTTAAATAAAAGCACGCATTGTACTCATGTAAAAACACCAGGCAGGCACCACAAATAACCTAGAGATGCATTTTAAATAAAAGGACACATTCTACTCATATAAAAACACGCTGATTCCCGAACCGTCGCGGGCCAGATTGAGAAGGCAATTGGGCTGCATCTGGCCCATGGACCTTAGGTTGCCTACCCCTGCTCTATATCATGTTTGTTGCAAGC